TTATTATTTATTTATTTATTTATTTATTTATTTATTTATTTATTTTATTTATGGTCGTTTTGAGATAGGGTCTCCCTGCAGCCCCAGCTGGCCTGGAACTTGTTATGTAGACCCAGCTGGCCTGGATCTCATAGAGATCCACCTGCCACTGTCTCCTGACTGCAGTGATTAAAGGTGTGTAGCACCATACCTGGCACCTCCATGATGTTTAATAACAGTTTTTACAACTATTGTTAAAATCTGCTTTTACTGTCACTCAATTTATCTCTATTATTAATCTTCAAGTAGTTTCTCAGAAAAAAAGAGTATTTACTCTACTTCCACATTTCTTTCATCCATAAAAGTAGCTAGAATACTAGCGAACAGTACTGACAATGCCTCCAAAATGAGTAAGTGTATCCACACGCGTGCACATAAACCACATACACGAGCACGCACATACACACATCACAAAAGAATACAAGAAAAACAAGAGCACTTTCTTCCTTAAATATATCCAGTCTCCATTACTGCTTTTCTATATACTCAATTCCCTATACTTGAGGCTCATAAATTATAAAACCTGAGATAGTTCATAAAAGTCTATGACATGCAGGCTGGAGAGTCGGCTCAGTGGTTAAGAACACTGGTTGCTCCTGCAGAGGACCCAGGTTCAAACCCTACCACCCACATGATGGCTAACAACCATTTGTAATCCCAGTTCCAAGGGAAACCAACGCCATCTTCTGACCTCCACGGGCATTGCACAACAGAGGTGCACTTACACACATGCAGGCAATACACTCATATACATAAAATAAAAAATAATAAAAAAGGAATAAAAGAAGTCTATGGCATGCAATTTAACAAAACCAACACCATAATGGGCATGGTGGTGCACTTCTTTAATCCCAGCCCTCAGGAGGCAGAGGCAGGCGGAGATCTTTGTGAGTTTGAGGCCAGCCTGGTCTACATAGTGAGTTCCTGGCCAGCTGGGGCTACAGGGAGACCCTGTCTCAAAAAGACAAAAAACAAACAAAAAAGAACTAACATCACATGCAAATTACTTCATTGCCTTCAATTAATGGTAACTTACTAGATACGAAGATATAGTGTAAGGTCTGTAATCTGGTATTTAAGAGTTCCATGACAAAGGCCATGGTTTGGTGGGACACATCTGTCATCCAAGCACTTGGGAAGCTGATTCAAGAAGACCTATCTCTGAACTTTTTTTAAAATTGTAATTGTTTCTAATACAGCAATAATAACATGAACCTTTATCTACCTACTACTCTTTAGTATCTTTCTTTTTCTCAAATCTTTCATAGCCCAATGAAAGATTAATTCATCAATAACTTTATGACAAGTTCCTACTTTTCTTTAAACCACCAAATTTTTTTCAATATTTTAATTCACATTAAAAAATCCTGAAGTATCAACAGATGGGACTATGTGAAATTAAAAAGTTTCTGCACAGCAAAGGAAACTATCAGCAGAGCACACAGCCCACAGAATGGGAGAAAATCTTTACTAGCTACACATCAGACAAAGGGCTCATATTCAGAATCTACAAAGAACTTTAAATGAAATACCAAGGAAATAAAATTACCAACCAACAAATGAGTCAACAAACTGAATACACAGTTTTAAGAAAAAGAAATGCAAATGTCCAACAACTATTTTTAAAAGTGTTCAATATCCCTAGTCATCAGGGAAATACAAATTAAAACTGCTTTGAGATACCACCTTACCCCAGTCAGAACGGGTATTAAGAAATCCGCCAGCAAATGTGGAGAGAGAGGAACCCTTATTCACTGCTGGTGCGAGTGCAAATTAGCACAGCCAAAATTGGAAATAAGTTTGGAAGCGCCTCAAAAACTAAAAATAAAGCTACCATACGACCCAACTATTTCACTCGAGTGTATACCCAGAGAACTCCACATACTACTATAGAGATATCTGCATCCCATGCTTATCACTGCCTATTCACTACAGCACAAAAAGGAACCAAACTAGTTGTCCATCAACAAATAAATAATAAAAATCTGGTACATATATAAAATGGAATATTATTCAGTTCTAAAGAAAAATGAAATCGCAAAATTCACATTCATCCTAGTATGAACCAAGAATGTAAAATACTAAATGAGGTAAAATAAAAAAACTCAGAAATAAAAACTTAAATGTCTTCCCTCATATGTGGATCCTAGCCTATGATGCATACAAGTACATATGTAAACAAATGCACATGTGGATATACTATAATATTTAGAATCAAGAACCAGAAAGGGTAATTGAAAAGAAAAGCATACTTTGTGGGGGATTTCTCATGGTAGATGTGTGTATTCAACTTTCTGCATACTGAATCAGCAGGAGCCACTTCTGCATTTCGTAAGAGTTCAATAAGTGCTGTCCCCTTCAGGCAGCACTGAGACTGGACTTCCTTTTTGACTTCCTGACCATTACTGCAGTGGGAACTGAACATGACTGGACACTGAACACGTTTCACATTGACCTACTTGGAGAAAGCAATTTTGTTGTTGCTAATGTTTGATGCAGTTATGTGTTCTATGCTTGGATGTTTTTTAAAAAATATTTACTATTTTTATTTTATGTGTATGAGTGTATTGCCTGCATGTAGGTAAGTGCACCCGTGTTGTGCAATGCCTGCGGAGGACAGAAAGGCTGTCGCATCCCCTGGAATTGGGGTTACAGACAGTTGTTAGCTGTCATGTGGGTGCTGGGATTTGAACCCGGGTCTTCTGCAAGAACAACCAGTGTTCTTAACCGCTGAGCCATCTGCCATCTTTCCAGCTCAGGGCGCCATTTTTTTTTTTTTTTTTTTTAATAAGAGCTGTCATTGTTGGAAATTCTTAAGTAAAACTGATTTACACAGAATTTATAAAGAAAAAAGTCCTGTATAAAAAATATTTTGTAAATAAGCTCACTTTTGTCTTTTCATTCCATCCTAAGTAATGTGCAATATAACACAAACACAAACCCAGAGGAAAAAAAAAAAAGTTTTGTGGGGTTTTTTGTTTGTGTGTGTTGTTGTTTTTTGGTGTTTTGTTTTGTTTTTGAGACATGGCCTCTAGTAGTCCAGGCTAGCCTCCAACTCACTCTGTAGTGGAGGCTGGTTTTGAAATCCTAATCCTCCTGCATCCACTTCTCAAATGTTAGGATTACAGGTATATGCCACCATGCTTAGTTCATGTAGAAAAATTTTAATGTATTATTTAACCAGCCAGATAGCTTTTAATAGTTATGCCATGAACATCAAAATTACCAGTGTCTTTTTCTTTAAAAAAAAAAAAGTCGCTTTTATAGTTATATAATCCTTGAAAGTCTTTGTGTTATGTGTATGTTTGATATGTATAATATGCTTGTATATGTGCAGGAAAGTATGTATGCACATGTATGTAGAAGCCAGAGACACGCTGCAGTGTCTTCTTTCTCAATCTTATTTTTTCCAGAAAAGGTCTCTCACTGAACGTGAGGCTCATTGATTTGGCTGGACTTGTTGGCCAGCAACCTCTAGGGAAACTCATGTCTCTGCCCCAGGATTGCTAGGGTTTCAGGTACAAGCTGCTGTGTCCTGCTTCTACTTGGTGCTGGGTGTCAAACTCAGGTCCTCAGGCTTGCATGGCACAGAAAATACTTTACCAACTGAGCCGTCTCCCCAGTCCAAGTCTTTTCTTGAGAAGCATAAAATATATGATAGGTATATAATTTATGATCTAGAATTCTAACTAATATCTACACATAAGAACCACTGCATACCTTTTTTGGGAGGGAAATCATATGTAAATTCAACTAAAGGTGTTTTGTAGAATGTAAAGCATTCTACAAAAATGCAGAATGGAAGTGCGCATGTGTAGATACTGTATTTCTACATGGATGTACAAGCAGGCACATCAGTTCAATGTGTCATGCTTAATACAGTTAAATAACAACAGTAACAACACAAAAACAAAACTATCTCAAAATAACATATGTTGGTTGAGAAATGTGCCTAAGATCATAATTAATAAGGTTGGTGGCAATAAGAGCTGTTTCTAGATATTACATGGTAACTCAAGGCCAGATGCTGACTAACTCACCTGTGTACATAATGGAGCTGATGAACTGAGTCAATTGCTATCACCATCTCAGCCAAGTAAAATCGAGCCATATCTTCAGGCAATCTATCTTCAAATTTGCTGAGCAGAGTAAGCAAATCCCCACCAACATAATAATCCATAACCAGGTACTGTGAACAAAAATAAAATGTACTCAGTAAGTAATAATGGTAAAAATTAATATATTTAATGCATCCCAAGGTCAAATAGGATTGAGCCAAATATTTATGGTAGCTAATTACTTATGTGTTAACTAACATTAAGTATGTAAGATATTTATCAATAATAATAATAGTAGTAAGACTTCTAAATTTCATAAGCAATAAAAACTTTAAATCCTGGTGCGGAACAGCAAGGTTACTATTTTTGTCGTTTTGTAGTTTGCAAAATAAATGACAACATTACCACTTACAAAGAAATGTAGCTTTACCAACATTTCAGAAGAATAAACAGTTTAATTTCAAAAATAAAATTGAAAAATAAAACTAAGAAGGATAATATTTATATTGAAAAAAATGATATTTATCTTCATCAGCCTTACATCTTCCTATTTCACCTTGGATGAGTAAGAACTGCAACCAGCACCAGTCTATGGATCAGAATTTGAAAACTACCATCATACAGACCGTAGTGATTTCCACCATTTGTTTCTCTTCCCTTTTTCAATTGAGTACAAATTCCAGATTGCATTTTTGTCAAATATACAAAAACAGAAGTAAACCAATTTTAGCTATGGATGTGTGTATGTTTGTACCAAAAAAGGAGCGTACACCAGAATGTCCAACAGGTTCTCCGAGTTAGACAGCAGGCAGTGCTACAGATCTTGTTATGTTCTAGACTAGTTTCCAAATATATGTTACAAAAACATGTCTATATGCATATGTGCTACTTGGCATGCCTCAGCATTGTGATGATTTTATTACAGGACAGGAACATATCAAGGACATCACTGAGTGGACATTATGACTTAAAATCATCTTGAGGAAAATTCTACTACAATACATAAAAATTATAAGCACAGAAAATGTATGTTAAACCAAAGAAACTAATTTTATGTATTTTAAAGCTAAGAAAATAGATTTGGAATCTTGGTCTATAGCTTACTTGCTGGATTTACTAAACCTAATGCTTAACTCAATGACGCAGCTTAGAACAAGTTAATGGAATGTAATAAAATTCTATTAACATTATCAAGTTATTAGAAACGGAGAGAGATGGAGAAGAAGCCAGTAACTCTTGTTGTTTAAAGTATGTGAAGAACTGAAACAAGCAAGGGACCTGGTAAAGCACAAAAACAAGAGCAATTAATACGTTCTAATATTTATTTACAGAAAGTTATATAACAGCCCGGGCCTGGGGACACATGGCTTTAATCCCAGCACTTGGGAGGCACAGGTGGATCTCTGGGAGACCTAGGCCAGCCTGGTCTACATAGTGAGTTCCAGGCCAACTGGGGCTACAGGGACACCATGTCTCAAAACCAACAAACAACAATAACAAAAAGGCATACAACACATAAGTCATACAACTCAGCCTATGAGTTAAATATATTTATTATTTTGTACCAGAGGATATTCCTAAGAGATAAAAGGTCCCTAACCAAAGGGCTTTTCTCTTGAAATGGTTCTCAATTCTTGTTACATCAGACTTTTGCCTTTTCTTTCTCTTTGATTAACTGGATTAAATTCAATCATCAAGGTTTTGATGAGTCTATTACTCACTAATCTCTACAGAATCTACTATTTCTTTTTTTTTTTTTTTTTTTTAAGAAGGGTCTCCCTGTGGCCCCAGCTGTCCTGGAACTCACTATGTAGACCAGACTGGCCTTGAACTCACAGAGATCCATCTGCCTGCCTCTGCCTCCCAAGTGCTGGGACTACAGGCGTGTGCCACCACTCCCGGCGAAATCTACTATTTCTATCCACTAACAGAATCCTAATTCAGACTACAGCCTCTCTGTGACATTTACTGTTCTATTCCACAGCAATAGAAAATATAGAGTACAGAACTAGAAGAATACTTGTTCATTCACCATTTACAGACATTTGTAATATACTTTCAGAGAATTTATAATCTGAGGAGAAAGATAATTGATGATCAATTTTGGTGCTTCATAAATACACTGACAGGAGAAAAACAAGGGGAGCTGCTACAGGCTCTTAACCAGTCACATGGCAGACAGACATACAATCCAGAGCTGCTCAGGTGGCTGAGGCAGGAAAATTACAAGTCAAAGTCAGCCTGAGAAACTTGGAGATCAGCTTAAAATTCAAAACTATTTAAAGAGCTCAAGATATGGCTCTGTGGTAGACCATTTACCTACCATGCATAAGGCCCTCGTTCAATCCCCAATGCTAGGTCAGGGAACAAAAACAGAATCCAAACTTTGAATTTGATTCACTGATTTGTCTCAAGTTTATTTTTAGTGAAGCAGTGAAGACTATTTCCTAATAGGTAGAAAGTCTATTATCTAGAAAATCTGTTCTTTCCTCCTACTCAAGATGTGCCTTTATCATACTTTAAGATCCCAAATGTGCAAATCTGGAACTATATTCTATCATTCTAATTCATTTCAGAGTAAAATTTAGTGACTGGTAGGACAGGTTTTTATTCATAAGCTACCTTAAATATATTACCCAATGTGGCTAAAGTGTCTTTAAAGAAGTTTGAATAAACATAAACCACAAGGTAACACTTGTAAAGTAAATGAAGAAAGAAAATAATCATAAAATAAAAAGCCCCTATCAATTGTTAAGAGAATAAACAATCCAACAAAACTAGGCTGAGGATATTAACAGGAAACTGACATAACAAGAGTCACAATCAGTCAATTAATACATGCTTAATGTGGGCAATACATCAGGAAAGTGAAAACCAAAACATCTGCAAGATACTCCCTTTACCACCACAACTTTGGGGAGGGACAATAACAAGAAGCAAATTTGCATCACAATATGCTATAATCCTTTGGAAAAGTCATTTCATGGTATCAGAATTTTCAATATGGGCTGAAGACGTAGCTTAGTCAATAGAGTGTTCACCTAGCACACACAAGGGCCTTGGTTCAGTCCTGAGCACTGTATAAACTGGGTATATGATCATAATCCCAGCACTCAAGGGGTAGAAGAATCAAAAGTTCAAGGTCATCCTCAGGCTACATAGCAAGTTAGAGGCCAGCTTAGGATAGTTGAGATGCTGCCTCAAACAAACAAGCAATTAAGAATTTTCCTTGATCTAACATTATGGATCTGAGCAATCCAATTAAAACCAATGTCCCAGCCAGGAATGATGGAACCTACCTATAATCATAGTACTTGTGAGGCTGAGGCAGGAGAATCACAAATTCAAGGCCATACGAGTTAACATTAGAGACCTTGTCTCAAAAGATAAAGTCCAATATGTAAGGAATATATACAAGTATACTTAGTACACAGAACTGTTGCTAACTGCAACAATCAGGAACAATATGAACAGTGATCAAAAAGTAAACAGTTAAATTATACAATATTCATTACTATTACTGTGATTACTTTGTTCCCTATTTCATGGGCATATATAATTAGTCTTTTTGGTAGTTTTACAACATTTCAGTAATCTAGTTAAGACAAAGAGATTAATGGTTAATCTTTAGGGCCCAACTTTGGTTTTAATTCCTCCTTGCCATCTTTTTCTACTATAAAAACACTAATAATTTCTGTCTTCATACATTGATTTTTATAAGGAATTTAGAGTTCACATGAGTTACTACAACTTAAAATTCAAATATCTTCCACCTTTTAAACAATTTACAAATAAATGCTAATTCAAGAAACAAAGTTTAAATTTTTTTAAATTTATTTATGTGTATGAGTGTCTTGTTTGCATGTATCTAAGTGTACCACATGTGTGCAATGCCTGTGGAGGCCAGAAGAAAGTGTCAGGTTTCCTGGAACTGGAGTTACAGACAGTTGTGAGCTGCCATGTGGATGCTGGGAACTGAACCTGGGTCCTCTGCAAGAGAAGCCAGTGCTCTTAAATCACTGAGCCATCTCTCCAGCCCAAGAAACAAAAGTTTTGCTTAAACATTTCCTATCTTTTTTCTTCAAGCATAAAATAAACAGGAAACTGTGAATAAGAACACAGGAGGAAAAGATAAATTTCACTGATTCATAATATTCAGAGAGAAAAAGATTTTATGTATTAATATTGATACAACAATTTTGAATATAATGATTTTTTTCTAAGGAAAAAAGTTCTAATCACATCTTAGCATCATACATTAACCTATGCACCTTCCTGTGAAGCACATACAGGTCCTCTCTTGATCTAAATTTATTTTTCATAGTCTGTGCGCAGTGATATCTAGGAAAGGGAAATCAAAATCCAATCATCTTGAGTTGTATAACACTATAAATGTTTGGATACTTACAAGCTAATAATGGCTAAAAGTTACTTTGAAAAATAAATCATTTAATAAAATCTCTATTTTGGTATTGGTAACTAGATGTGTCCACATTCTTAAATGGCTTTACTTTCTAATATTTTCAAATGTTCAAAAGAGTACCTGTGGTGACAATTAAAACTTCTAAATCCTGGCTCTTCTAAGTAACAAGAGTTTTCATTTTGATCATCCTTCAAATACTGTGTTATTTTTACTCTAATGTAATTAATGACTGGTATACATATTATATCTCTCAAAAGTCTCTGAAGAAGAAATGCAAATCACAGTGAAATGCGAAGTGCAAATGAGACTAAATAATTCAAAGATACAATGACAATCACAGTTCAGCCATTTTTTTCTTATTTTAATACTTCTGGCAAATTTTTGCTATTTAAAATTTGGTACTTGAGTGCTTTATATCTATCTCTACACACTTCTATATTATTTCCACATTTATAACAAAAAGTATATTTTAAGGAATGTACATATCCACCATGATAAATCTCTAACAGACTACACTGATGGGGTTTTAGTCTTCATTACTTTTGAAATTTATCACGATAAATACTATGATTTTCCTAAGCATAAATACCTAGTATGGATTCAATTAGGATTTTGCTGACAAATCTATGTAAGAATTTTTATCCGCATGATATACTCATCCCTACAACTGGGGAAGTTACACTAAACCCAACTCAAACATCATTCCACTCACTTTAGTATCTGAACAACGAATACATGCAAAGCTCTACCATGTCATTTTTCAAATAACAATTTTGACTATAAACCACAATCCTACATACAGTGGATAGGATGAGTCAGTGTATTAAAAATCAAATGTTACAAATCACTATTTGCTCTTATTGCCATAACCATCCATTTTTCTTCCTACTGAATTTTAATGCATCCTACAACCCATTAAACTGGTCTTATATCCAACTTCATAATGTTTTTATAAGATTATTATAATCTATAAGCATGTAAAGGATATAAATGCTTATAGTAACAGCTTCAATACCTGTATCTGACTTGACATCAGACAAACCTCTCAACTACTGTAGCTAAACGGACCTTTAGTTTTATTTTAGCTAAAGGCATTAGGGCTCATTCTTTTTATTTTTAATTTTTTTTAAGTTCTACCAAACAGTCAGGGGTATCGTACAGGCTAGGAATGGTGATACATGCCTTTAATCCCAGCACTTGGGAGGCAGAGGCAGGCAGATCTCTGTGAGTTCAAGGCCAGCCTGGTCTTCATAGTGAGTTCCAGGCCACCAGGAGATCCTGTCTCAAAAAGACAAAAACAACAACAACAACAAAAAACCAGAGATATTGTACATACACACGTTAGTTGTGTAGCAGACTTTAAAAACATAAAGCTTGGGACTGGAGAGGTGACTTAGTAGTTAAGAGTAAGAGCACTGGCTGCTCTTGCAAGGACTTGGGTTCGATTCCCAGCACCCATGTGGCAGCTAACAACTCTAACTCTTAATTCCAAGGGAATACGATGCCCTCTTTTGACCTCCACAGGCACTGCATGACACAGGTGCACTTACATACATGCAAGCAATACACCCATACACATAATAAAAATAATTTTTTAAAAATGTAAAGCTAAAATGAAGTAAGATTCATTCCAACTGGAAGTTCTGGAAATGACTATTTTAATATATGGGATTTCAACACAATTTTAAGATATCAGCTGGATTTCAACGGGAACAGAGAGGATAAATGGCACTGGTGTTTAATACAAGTGTGGATACATACAAAGAATGCTCAAGAGGGACCTAGGACTTATCTTTTCCTTTCTTTTTAACCAGATACTATATTTAGCACCATTGGCTATCTCTTCTACTCCTCTGTGTCTGTGTGTGTGTGTGTGTGTGTGAGAGAGAGAGAGAGAGAGAGAGAGAGAGAGAGAGAGAGAGAGAGAGAGAGAGAGAGAGAGAGAGAGAGAGAGAGAGAGAGAGAGAGAGAGAGAGAGAGAGACAGAAACAGAGACAGAGACAGAGACAGAGAGACAGACAGAACCTAGGGCCTTGAGCATACTAGGGGTGTGCTTTACGCCTGAATGCACTCCCAGTCCAGTTCTCCAGGTTTAGTTTCCACTGTGCAGTGTCTTGATCATCTGTCTTGCTCTGACCACACCCACAATTTTCTTCTTGGGTTCCTCAGGTCCATCTACTGTAGGCACACCTGAACTTGCTTTCACATTTACAAGCATTACTCCATGATTCTTTTTTCTGTCTTGTATTTGCTGTTATTATCAAGAGGAGTTGGCCAAGTTCTCTTGGTCAGTAAAGGCTTGGCAGGCCAAGAGATGAAATTAAGGACTTAATGGAGGTACTTATATAGTACGAGATAAAACAAATTTCCACATTTCCCTAGCTTTAACAATCTGTCCCTGTTGCTCCTGATGGCTTCAATTCTCTGAGCAACTGTTTTCAACAAAGGAACAAGTTCACTTTCCCTTACCACATTTCTCAGCTTTGCAATCATGCATGATTCCGTTAACTGAACACTGGTAAATGGCTTTTGTTGCCTGTCTAACAAATGAGCCTCTCAGAAACGAACTAGGCTATAGACACATTTTCATTTTTTACTTCTGTTTACAAATTATACTATAATGAGGTATTCTTATTCTGCTCTAAATTTTCTAGTTTTTCCGATCACTTCTTTCCTGTGGATTGAGAATGTGATGCATAGTGAATCTGGCTATGCACATGTATACTATATTCTATTAGCACAGATGTGGTATGTTTGCATAATAAACACAATGCTTTGCTATTTTATACATTAAAAATCTACTTTCCTGTACATTAAAAGCAGATTTGAGGACTACTCTTTGTTCATTATTCTGATACAATAGACATGCATCATTGATGAAAACTAATAAAATCTTATGGTACAGCAATATGCACAGAACTCAAAATGTTATCAAGTTATATCACTTTGGCAGTTTGTAGACAATATGTATATCGTAAGTGTAGCTATGCCCCAATACAACTCTATAAAACATTCATGTCACAAACAGTACTCTCTGCATTTTACTTCCACTATTTAAAAATACAAAAAAAAAAATTCTTACCTCACAGACTATACAGAACTTGGTGGCAGCTAGATTTGTGCTGCAAGCTGCCATTTGCTTAACCTGATCTGTAAGGTGAGAACTCCAAAGCATGTGGTGCCGCTCACTGTCTAGAAGCACCAAGGTCATATATATGGTCCACTGAATGAATTGCATTACAACTGAAACCCAACATGTTCCACATTCATCAATCATCTGCTCCTCTGACCTTCCTCTTTCTGCTAGCATGGCTGTGTGTGCCTAGAATCCCAGAACAAGGCTAAGGCAAGAAGATCAGTCAGACCTTGGGCAAAAACAAATCACTGACTCCTCTTTTCACCAATGACATTCAAACCCACAACACTCTAATCAGTTGACCTCCTGGCCCCTCCTCTTCATCCCTACTTAGAAATCTTCCCACTTATCTAAGCCCTCACCAGCTGTCATCTGAATATTGTAAAAATCCCAAAGTCTCCTTGCCTCCAGTTTTGCTCCTAAAATCCACAAGCAGCCCTGCTGCCACTTTACATTGGGTATGAAATGTATAACTGACAACAGTCTCATTCTCCTTGGAATTAAAATTCAACTCAGCTGAATACTGAACACCTTCTTTCCCCTAGTTGTAACACTGTACTCACACTAGTCGTCCTCTTTTGCCCCAGAAAACCCTTATGCTTTCCTGCCACAAGCCTTACTTAAAGTACTGAAACAGCAGTTTTCAAACTTGGCTCTGTAATGACTGCTGAGTGGCAATGAAGGAAGGTGAGACGAGGACGACAGGAGACCAGTGTGGGCATTCCCACTGCGATGTCTACACTCAGATAGAATGCCATTTTAAAACAAAATATACAACAAATTTTTTAAGGTGCTGACCATCTAATCTGCTTAGCAAAACATACATGGTTCTGTCATGTGACTCATTCCTCCTCCCTCATTATACCATCCTTCAACATGAAGGTGACAAGCTGCTCCCAATCTGTTTCTGCTCACCAACACCTACCCTGATGTCCCTCCCTTGCTTTAGCTACCTCGTCTATGTCTTGGAAGAGTCTTCACTGACTTGATACCTTTGAATAAATGTAGCATTTTCATCATGTAAACTACTCTAAAAATATTACCTTTATGAATTTAGACTTATCTGGTAACCTTTATGTAAATAAAAGAACCCTAAGAAAAGCAAACTTCTTTCCTTACTCACTATTCTATCTCCAGGTTCCAAGACCAGTGTCCAGCAGAGAGCACATGGCCAGAAAGTGCTTAGCAAAAAAAGGGAAGTGTGCTCCTATTCTTTATATTCCATTGTTAGCATCTGGGACACAGCTGCATTTCAAGAAATGATTTCTTTTTAATTTTATGGGCATGAGTATTTGAGCCTGCAGGTATATAAGTGTACCATGCATGCAGTGCCCACAGAGTTCAGAGGAGGGTATCAGATTCCCTAGAACTAGTATTCTAGATGGTTGTTAGTGCCCATGTGGGTGCTGGGAAGCAAACCCAGGTCCTCTGCGAGAACAGTCAGTGCTCTTAACCACGGAGCCATCTCTCCAGCCTCATGAATGCTTTTCTTAAAATTAAATATATATATAAATCTGGAAATCAAATACAGTCAAAAACCGAAGAGTTGTGAACAGCAGGCCAAGGAGTTGCATACTCCACTGGGAAAACACAACCTTATTTAATATTTGACTTTATTTTCCTGTTTCTTGTTTCTCTATTCATTATTTATTCTCAAATCCAACAGCTTCTAATATTTTGATTTTCTTCTAAGTTCTTCCCCAGCTCTTGTGACATAACTCATGACGTCAGTATAAACATGGTTGAACTTAAGGTAGCACATGGCCACTTCTGAAAGTATGTGAACTTTTAAAATCAAAGCACTACTAGTGAAACATATTGGGAAAGACAAGAAAAGAAAGTCTCTTAGACTCTCTCTACAGAATTTAACTAAAGGAAGTCAAACCACTCTGCGTTTGCTTATTTAAAAGCATTAAGCCTTTGCCTTTGCTGGGCCAGTGGTGCACATCTTTCATCCCAGCAGGGGCAAGTGAATCTCTGAGACTGTGGGGGCATCCTGGACTACACAGCAAGCTCCAGATCACATGGAGCTATAGGGAGACTGTGTCTCCCAAAAAAAACAAAAAACTCTATTATCTTGTCTCTTATGATAAAAAATAAAAGTATAAGCAAATTAAATAGAAAAGTACTGAATCTCTGGGAGGAAAAATTCTCACACCAAGTACACACCTTATATTCTGTGAAATGCAATGATTTTTTTTTTACATTTAAAAAAATCTACATTTAAGTAATATTTAAAAGACAATGATGCAAAATTTTGCCAACTAAAGATTAAGGATACAGGAAAATAAAGATGGTTCATTCTTACTAAGTTATTGTCATCCTGGAAAGCATAGTGCAGGGTTGTTATCCATTTACTGTCTCCATTGACTAACACATCCCTCTCTTCACGAAAGCATGCTGTCTGAAAAGGAAAGAAAAGTATTTTAGCAAACACTTATATAAACTTGGGAAATACTATGCAAACAATTGTTCAAATGTTTAGTTTCTATTCTAGAAAAAGAGTGTGTTCAATATCGTATTCAATATTCAATATTGAGTGTTTCAACAACTCGGAGTTTCAAAACAGAAACTGGCCTATTGGAATAGTATACTTCAGAAAATATTTTACTTTTAAAAATACTATTATAGTTCAAAATAAGGAGAAAAAGCACAAAATTACTAAACAATATACAAATGTATACAAACATATATACAAACAATATACATATGTATACAAACATATATACAAACAATATACATATGTATACAAACATATATACAAATGTCCACATTTGCCATATTGATTTCTACCCTTCCGGAAGACATAAAGTGCAAGTATTGGCCTTCCAGGCCTCTTGCATTCTCCTCCTTTCCTTAAACTTTCAATATCTCAAGATAGTACACAGCCTACTAAGCACATGATTTAGTCACAAAAGGACCCTGCTTCGATTCCCAGCACCCACACGGCGGGTATGAACCATCCTTAACTCCAGTTCCAAAGGAATACGAAGCCCTCTTCTGACCTCCGTGGCACTGCATGACACGGGTGCACTCACATACATGCAGGCAGTACACTCATATACATAAAAACAAAAACAAAAAAAACCCAGAAGTTATTTAAAAATTTTGTTATAAATTTGCACTTTTCCAACTGACTCCTTTTTACTAAATGACCATTTCCTTTTCAAGTGCTGTGCTCTTTCACTGTTGGATTGCATCAGAGTTTTCATAGGCACTAATGGAATAGAAGCTATTTCCAACTCTGTCATTCCAATGTGGTAATGATCATGCATCTACATGGATATAAGCATTTCTCTACTGTACACTGTAAAAACAAATGCTAGAGATAAGCAAATTTCAACTTTTCCAGAGAGCAATCCTCTCTTCCAGTGCTGGACCAATTGCAATCCCCATTCCTCCTCCCCACATCTTCAATTCCACCTGGCATTATTAGACTTAAACAGTTGTCAGTACGATGCTGTGAAATCGTATTTTTGTTTTTTTTTTTTTTTTTTTTTTTTTTTTTTTTGAGGCAGGGTCCCTGTAGCCACAGCTGGCCTAGAACTCACTATGTACACCAGGCTGACCTGGATCTTACGGAAATCTGCCTGCCTCTGCCTCCCAAGTGCTGGAATCAAAGACATGTACCACCATGCCTGGCAATTTGCACTATTATATACATATTCTGGAGAATCTTGGAAATGGAATGATTAAAGATTAAAAAAGTCATTTTATATAATTCTAAAACATACCAACTTTAATATTTTAACTAAAAAGAAAACAAAGAAAAAGTAATTATACCAGAAACAAAAAGAAAAAAAACTGACAGGTGAAACAAAGCATAAAGTTTCACCTGTCATGCTTAAACAATTTTATTGTCCACTTGGGTCCAAACATGATCATTAACTATTTACACAGTATACTCTTGGAAATTTTCTAGGTATGCATAAGTAAGGAAACACACACACACTGTATGCATGCATGTATGCCCCTTAATGTGGTAACCCACCTCTCCTATCTTACTCCTTCCTGTAAATGGGATGTAGTGCTCTATAAGCTATTTATATTTTGAAAAAATAAACATTTGAAGCTCTTATCTAATCTGTAAAAGATTTTAGGGGTACCTCTTCAGAGTGGGGAATGTTAGAGTAGCAAAAAGCCTCATTTAAAAAAAAAAAGAGTACATGAAGGTTTTCAGGAAAAAGTGATGGAAAAATATGGGAAGAGTTAGGAGGGGAGGGAGTGGGCATGGATTTGATCAAAACACCTTATATGCATGTATAAAATTCTCAATAATTTTTTTAAAAAATAAACTATTTTTAAAAGTTTAAAAAAATTTTGAGTATCTTGCCACATATATACATAGAAACCTGCCTAATTTTTCTTAATAGTTATATCAACTATGTTAAAATACACACTGAAAAGATTATCACATTATTCTATACATATACACAATACATTCCATACGTGTTTTTGTTTGGTTTTGTTTTACAGTGCTAAGAATTGAACTCAGAGGATCTTGTGCATGCTAGATAGGCTTTGTACTAGTGAGCTATGTCCTCAGCTCCTAAAGTAGGTACTTAGTTATTACTATAACATAGATTAAATAACCATGATACATGAAACAAATTATTATACAATTAGCCCTCGTATTCTCATGCACATACATAAGACTTACTTTGCCAAACAGAATTGACAAAGCCAGGCATTAAATGAAAATATCAGAGAAAACCTAAACTTGAACCATATGAAATGGTGGTTTTTATCTGTCAGATTATTAAAATCTATAACATTATGTTCTAGTTAACCTTAGGGAGAAAAAAGCATCATGTGTGACCTACTTACTATGTCCTGTTTATAATTTAAGTGAAGATATGGCTACAGATACCATTTTAGAGGTTGTAAAGACTGACAGAGCCTAGGAGACCACTATTCCTGGCTTTATCTTACAATGACAGTGACCAGAAATTTTATAGACATTCCAGCTACCAGAAAACTACCAATGTTTCATTTGATTGACAATTCCAAACTAAGTAAAATTCCAAACACTTTAGTCAAAACAACAGATTAAACTGTGGGTTCTAATCTCTCCTATACTGTTCAGTTAAAAAATAAATGTTTTCAAAGATTAAAAATATACAATAAACTATGATATATCCACCGAGCATAGTGGTGCACACCAATTTAATCCCAGCACTCAGGAGGCAGAGGCAGGCAGATTTCTGTGAGTTCAAGGCCAAACTGCTCTAGAGTTCCAGGCCAGGGAGCTACAGGGGGCTACAGGGAGACCCTATCTCAAAAAAGCCAAAAAAAAAAAAAAACCACTCAAAAAACTATGATTTAAAAAATTTCTAGTATATACAGAAGTAGAAAGACAGATACAAATTCCTCCACCCAATACACCCACCACTCAATTCCAACAATTACCTTATTAGCCAGTCTTGTTTCATTACACGCTCACACTCACCACTCTCCCTCAGTTCTAATCCCGAAAACACATACAACATTCTAAGAAAAGGCCTCAGCCGTCATGCCAATTATCCATAAATATTTAACTATGAAGGTGCTCTTTAAAGTCTTGGATACTGAGTCTACATTTTTTGCTTCAATGTAGCATTATCTTCGGTTGGTTATTGACAACTGGAAAAGGGGATCCTACTGGTGTCCAACAAGTAGAAGCCAGGATCCTACACCCCGTAAGTGCACAGAGTATTCTCCAAAAGAAAGATTCATCTGGCTCCAAGTGCCAACGGTGGCCCTGTTAAAAAACTGTTCTGCATCCTTAAACCATGATAAATGTACACTCCATGGATGTGGGGATTCAATGATATTTTTCTGATTAAAAAAATAAACAAACAAAAAAAACCACCTCAATTAGACAACATATCTAAAGAAAATGTTTTAAAACTTCCCTGCACGCAAAATGGGATATTTAGGCCACTAAAAACACAATGACTGAGGCATGGCAGCATTTGCCTACAATCACAGCGCTTGCCAGGTGAGGGCAGAAAATCAGGGTTTCAGGTCATTCTTGCCAGTCAGGGGACATGAGACTGTCTCAATAAAACAAAACGAAACCTCACAATGAACATGTACAGGGGCTACTAGACTCACAAGGCTGACTTAAGTTGAGTCATTCGTTTTCCCAACTTTCAAATTTCAGTCAAGCTTTTGCCAGAATGATGTGACTTTCATACGTGCTACATTTCTCTATATTCAGTAATGCATTCTTTAAATTTCATCCTTAAATGGACCGGTGGGATAATAAGCAACTGAATTTTTGTGTTGAAACAGAAGTTAAATAAGGACCATACATAAATGATAATTCTGTAAAGATGTCACATGACTCTTTAGAACATTCATAAAATATATTCAACTGGCAATCCTATATAGCTCATCAAAAGTGCATGCACAGTGATTATGAGATGGTTCAGTCAGCAAAAGCACTTGCTGTGCAAGCCTGAAGCCCCGAGCTCAGTCCCAGGGTCCCAAGGTAGAAAGAAGGAACCAACTCCTGAAATTGTCCTCTGACCTCCAAACACATACTGTGGCACAGACATGCTTGTACTCATAGACTCACATGCCATTCATGCACACTGATGATGATGATGATAAATCTATACATACATGGAAATCATGAGTCCAAAAAGAAGTCCGTGAATGATCATACCTATTTTGACTTCTCACTAGGGATACTTTATCTCTTACTCATAGAATACTGTCACAGATACACATGGAGTCAGTGCGCTATATCCTTATGAATATTTATAAATGCATGCATGTATATGTAACATAATAAAGAGGAGGAAAAGAAATTGAGAGGGAGTGGGGGGACATGGGAGGAATTTGTGAGGAAGCAGGAGGGATGGAAATAATGCAAAAACAACACTTAGAGATGAAATTCTCAAAAATAAAAACATTAAAAGTTTTAAAAGAATATTGTCACGAGAAATCTTTTCAAATAATAACCGAATATTTCTCTAATCTATTTGGATAGAGGAAAAGTCAAGTTTTTTCATTTTTGCAAAGAAAATGGAATTTTAACTTGAAAAAAGGATCTAAGATTTCCAATATTAGATAGATCTTTTTTTTTTTGGTCTTTTAGAGACAGGGTCTCCCTGAAGACCCAGCGGTCCTGGAACTCACTATGTAGACCAGGCTGGCCTTGAACTCACAGAGATCTGCCTGCCTCTGCCTCCCGAGTGCTGGGATTAAAGGTGTGCGCCACCACGCCTGGCAGATCTTTTTATATCATGACATGAATTGATTGTTTTTTGTTGTTTGTTACTTGCTTGCTTGTTTTTGGAGACAAGATCTACTGCAGCCCAGGCTAGCCTTGAACTTGCTATGTAACTGAGGACGAACTTGAATTCCTAACCCCCACCTCTATCTCCTAAATGCTAGGATAGCCCAGAAACTTTTCAATTTACTTTTAAGTATACAGTCTATATATTTAATGGCCACAACAAACATGAACTGTATAGTTTTTAACTTGTCAGTAGTTTTTTAATAGAATTAAGAAAGAAAAACCATTTCATAACATCCATAATTGGCAAGTGTGTTGAAAAACACACACATTTACTTTCTCTGAGTTTAAAGATATACTAGTCCAACATTAATACATTTTTTTTCTTTTAATATTTTATTTTATTATTTTTATGTGTATGAGTGCATTGCCTGCATGTATGTGAGTGCGGTATCTGCAATGCCACAGAGGTCAGAAGAGAGCTTCAGATTCCCCTATAACTGGAGTTAAGGACAGTTCATAGGTACCATGTGGGTGCTGGGAATCGGACCCGGGTCCTCTGCAAGAGCAGTCAGTGCCCTTAACCACTGAGCAATCTCTCCAGCCAACACCTTTTTGTAAAACAATAGTTCCCAAAGTTTGAATGTATCCCTTACCCTAGCCCAGGATTTCCACTAAAAATGAGTTTAATTTGGGGAGTAGGTAAGTGGAGACCTCAAGGCAGCGCCCAACAACATCTCTATCTTTTTTTTTTTAATTTATTTATTATTTTTATTTTATGTGTATAAGTGTTATGCCTGCATGTAGGTAAGTGCACCCATGTCGTGCAATGCCCTCGGAGGACAGAAGAGGCTGTCAGATCCCCTGGAACTGGAGTTACAGACAGTTGTTAGCTGCCATGTGGGTGCTGGGATTCGAACCCGGATCTTCTGCAAGAACAGTCAGTGTTCTTAACCGCCGAGCCATCTCTCCAGCCCCCATCTCTATCTTTTATTATTTAAATCTTTTATTGATTTTGTGTGTGTGTGTGTGTGTGTGTAGGTCAAAAGACAACTTTGTGGAGCCAGCTTTCCTTCCACCAGGGGCTCTAGGATGGAACCTCTGCTGAGTCATCCCAGGGCCCTCGTATCTTCTAATTTTACACTGTGGACACTTTTTGGATGACATGACTGGTTCTGATATATTTCCTCTCTTATTTTTAAATTTTTCTTTTACAAAAACACAAAGTTAATTTAGGTGAAATAATTAAATGTACTAATAATTTGACTCTATCTTGCTAAGAATTCTTACTGTACATAAGCTTACAGAAGTATGTCAACATTCATATACAAAGATTTTTACTACAACATGATTTAAAATAGCATATATAAGACACAACCTACATGCCTATCAGTCAGTGTTTTTAAACTACAAGACTTACCTCAGCTCTTTTCAGCATTTCCCATTTATTCAAAATTTTCATGGCAAATACTTTATCTGCATTTTTCAGTTTAACTACAGCAACCTAGAAAAGAGAAAAGAAATACAACATTTAAAGTATGGCAAAAAAAAATACTTTTAATCCATTTTCCTTTTTCTTCTCTGCAAAAACAAATATACGCCAATTATCAATTATTTCAACACAGCTTGACTTCTGAGATCCTAAATTAAATGTCAAATTAAAATGTTACATTAGTGAACATATGCCAAACAAGCAATCTTATTTGTGAACACTATCGGCTACTTATTATATGCTATATCCTCCTCCTTTCCAAGTTTTCTGCCCAGGAATTTAAATTCAACAGCCACTATTACTGAGTAATTGCCCAGTATGTAGAATATGAAAGAAATATATCTTGTTACATAATGTACATCAAATTCCAATATAATGCATCAGAGAACGCTGACTACCACAACAGGTATGTTCTGTGGGGACCAAGCAATAAAAAATACACTGAAAAAATGATTCTATCTTCCATTCCACATATTATAACCCACTATGCTGTGACTTCCAATCCTCATTTGCCCCCACCCCAATCCGTCTCTCCCTTAGCCCCAGGGCAATTATGACTAATAGTTTTATAAACTATAGACTGTATGTATCCCTTCCAATAATAAAGTAACAGATCTTTCTGTATTTTATATTCTCAGTTATAGACCAAAAAACTGCCAAATACAAGTAAATAAAAATCCATTCTCACTGTCAACAAAATGGTAACATTTCTGTTTCTACTGCTGCCTTAGCTCAACCAGATAATCTCTTAAAGTCCCTTCTAGCCTGCTGGATTTGCTGAAACTAAACTGCAGAAGAGGAAGGCAAATACTGACAATTCCAGTATCTGAGAGGCACAAGTGGAGAAAACAAATACTATCTGTTACAGTTTGGACACTAAGTGTTCCCCAAAGGTCCATGAGGCAAAAGCTTGGTCACCAGCATGGCACTTTGGGGAGATAATAAAAATCTTAATAGCTTAGTACTGGTTGGCCATCTTTAAGTTGTTGGTGGCATTCATGTGAACAGGTGTGTGGAACTCCTGACTCACTTTTTTCTTTCACACCCCAGTCATGAGGTAAATGTTTTTATTTTGTCACACACTACCACAATTATATACTGCCTCACCATAGACCCAAAAGCAACAGGGCCAATTGACTGTGCACAGAAATTTCCAAAATAATGAGCTTTTTATAATCTACTTTTTGTTTGTTGTTTGTTTTGTTTTGTTTTTTAATCTCATGCAGCCCAGCCTGGTCTAGAACTCATTATGTAGCCAAGGATGGCCTTGAACATCTGAAACTCCTGCCTCTACCACCCAAGTGCTGGGTGTACAGGTGTACACCAACATGCATGCCCACTTTATAGGGTGCTGGAGATAAAACCCAAGGCAAGCACGCCACTAGTGTGGGGTCTTGGGGTGAGGGGTGGTTATGGGGTTCATTCCATGGGATGAGCAAAGGCTTGGACATCCCAGAAAGGCAGACGACCCCAGCACAGGAAAAGGAAAGAGGAGACAGGAGTAAGGGAGGAAACCCTGGCTTGACAGCTCAGTGAGGGCGGGACACCCTGCTGCAGGGACAGCTAGTCCAGGAAAATAAGGTTGACAAGCAGTGAGAAATGGGGAGAGGAGAGATTTTGAGAGATGGCTAGGAAGTGGCAGCTGTCTGTCAGTAGTATGTTGGGTTACTGTCTGGAAGAGCCTTTATCCATCTTGGCCAAGAACTTGACTGAAGGTATCGCCTGTCTGGCTTTGTTGTTTGTTGAGTAACTTTTAGTTATGTATATGTATGCTCTTATGATATTATGTTGGCCCCTTTAATCTTTGGTTATACTTCCCTTTTGGGTGTTTAAGGACATACAATTGGACCAGATAAACTGATTTGTTTTTACTCTTGAGGTCGTTAGAGGATTTGTTCCTCAGGGGCTCCATATAATCTACTTTTTATAAGTAGATTATTTAGGCATTCTGTTATAATAATGGGAAGCTGACTAATACACTACCCCAATATGCTGGAAAGAACAAAGCATGCATATGTCATTAAATAGTTCAAAGGGGGGCTAGAAAAGCAGCTCAATGGTTAAGAGCTCTGGCTGTTTTTGCAGAGGACCTGGGTTCAATTCCCAGCACCCACATGACGGCTAACAATCATCTATAACTCCAGTTCCAGGAAAATCCAACAACCTCTTCTGACCTCCATAGGCACTGCATGACACAGGTGCCCTTACATACATGCAGGCAATATGCTCATATACATAAAATTTTTTTAAATATAAATAGTTCAAAGGGATATTTCCAAGGAGAGAAAACAGGTTTAAATTCAATTTAAAAACAAAATTTATCTTAACAGAAAATATACATATCAAGAGTACTCAGTATATCTGGTTCAGACTGCCACTAAAGTAATATGACGATGTAATTAGAATCAGTGCATAATACAACATCTTGGTAGCTGTCATAAATAGTTAAAACAGCTGTAATTGCATCTTTTCATCAACTAAAATGGTGGGAAGATGGGCCAGGGAGATGGCTCAGCAGGTAAAGTGCTAGCTGTGCAAGCCTGAGGAACTGACTTCAATCTGGGAAATCATGTAACAAGCTGAATGCAGTAGCAAACATATGTAATTTTAGCATTCCTACGGCAAGGCAGGAGGCACAGGCATGGGAAGTGTTCAGAAGCTCAAAGGCCTACTAACCTCGAGTACACAGAGCAGGAACCGAGAGAGACCCTGGATCAACAAGGTGGAAGGCAAGAACCAACTCCCAAAAGTTTTCCTCTGTTTTCCACATGCCCACCAACATACACTGACTGTCTCAAAGCCAGGCACAGTGCTAAGAGTTCACAAAATCTACAATCCCTTAACTGCAATTCCAAAAGCCAAACATTTTTCACAACTCACTTAGCAGTGTGTGCGGACATAAAGCCAACAGCAATTATTAGTCTTTTCTTTAATCTTAGCGTAAAGACAAGTATACTTCATTCCAGAAACATGAACATACCTGCTTATGGGGTGCTGCAGCAAACTTTGAGAGAGTGAATAAAGCATATGCACTAAATTATCTTTCTAAATTCCAAAATACTGGAATCAAAGCAAGCTCTGGATTACGCAGCTACACAGTAGAAGTAACATGATGATACCTAGCAGTTATTGAACACTCAAACACGTAGCGAGCATTTACTGGGGATATTTAGGAAGGTGGCGACAGGATGGAATCTGAAACCAGACTACGTGTCTTAAATCTTGCTTTTGTCATTTAGCTGTCTAACTCAAGGTTTTAAAAAAGAAAAAAGGCACTTGCCTTTCAATACTTCAGTTTTCTCATCAATAATGAAGTTGATAGTAAAGATGAAAATAACATGTACATGGAATGCTCACCACAGGATCCAGCATCTAGTTAAGTGTTCAGTAGGCACAAGCAGCTACCATGCACCTACTGCCATGACCCTAAGTCCCTAGCACCCAGTCTCTTCACCACTACTTGTTCTGCTATGGAGCAGCTGGCTATGGAGCACCTCTCCATTTCTTTAGCATTAAAAAAAGAACAATCTCTTCAACTTCTTTCATTTTAAACTGACACTATATAAAAAAATTCCCTCAACTGAAGAAATCTGCATAGAAACAAAAGCTAAGTTATAATACTCACATTATTAAGGTTTTTAATAGTAAAATATCAGAATACCTTAGATTTTGGTTTTTTAAGACAGGGTTTTCCTATACCCCCAGCTGGCCTGGACCTCATTATGTAGACCAGACTGCTCTTGTTCTCACAGAGTTCAACCTGCCTCTGCCTGAGATTAAAAGCATGTATCGCTCTGCTTCCCTGATCCTGCAGTACCCACAGGCCTCTCTCCCACCCACAGGCTTCTCTCTCCAGAGTAAGTTGATTGGGCCCTCAGCGCCTTGACTCCCCCAGCCTCACTCACACTCTCATCTCCCCCGCCAGTCTCTCCTCCTAGCCTGGGTCCAGTCCCATTCCTTGTCTTGGCGCCCCAGACACCTGGGTAACCACCACTGCTTCTTCCTGATCCTGAACATCCAGAGCAACTCACTTCCTACTCCTGTCCCCAGGAGCACTGCTTCTGGCCTGGCCCTGCCCTCACTTCCCTCTGCTTCCCTGAGCCTGGAGGACCAGCAGGGTCCTGTCCCATTCCTTGTCTTGGTGCATTAGACACCTGGGGAACCACCACAGCTTCCTAATCCTATGCATCCAGAGCAACTCAGTTCCTTCTCCAGATCCCAGGGGCGCTCTAGGCCTGACCCCGGCTCACCTCCCTCTGCCTCCCTGGGTCTGCAAAACCCCCCAGCCTCTTTCGTGGATGCTGGGGCTGACCTTTCCCCTTCCTGGTCCTCTGCATCCAGACCAAGCCAGCTACTCAGTGCAGTCCCCAGGGGCCCTTGGGGCGGCCTGCTGCCCCCATCTTCCTTTGCATCTCTGGGTAGCACAGCCACCAGCTGGCCTAGACCAGCATCTTTCCTGGGCCTGGATCCAAGGCCAGTCGAATCCCCAAATTCCTGAGTCCAAAATCTATCCTGGAGAGATCCAGACCTTAGAAGAAAGCCTGAGAGCATCTGATCCTCATCTGACTTGGGCCTCTGTGGGAACTCCTGAAGACAAAAGCAATCTGGCCACTCCAATATAAAATCAAAGGAGAGAACCAGAAGCTTAGAGGAACCACCTTTCATGCCCAAAAAGTAAACCACAAACACACATAAAGTTCACAAAAAGAAGCAGACCTAAAGTTCAAAGCTTGAGGCTCACACAGAAATCAGAAACTACAAAAGAAATTCACATGTTAAAATCACAGAGAAAAAATGATAACATGAAAACCAAAATAACATATCCCCATCAAATACCAATACTCCTCTAGAGGAGTACGTTGAGAACCCCCTAGAGATAATGCAGGACATGGAACTCAAAAGAACAATGATAAACATGATAGAAGAATTCTGTGAATTTAAAGAGCATGCAAAGAAATCAAAGAAGTGAAGGAAGATAGGAATAAACTTCTGAATGAATTCATAAGTGATAG